AGATGTAAGAAAGAAAAGAAGGGAGAGGAAGAAGACAGGTTATATTTAAAGGTAAGGACTGCTCAGTGGCCTTTGATAAACTGGAAATTTAAAGCTTAGATGTAATGTTCTTAATTTTAAATCAGATAATGGATCTGTATATGATTTGAAGTTATATATTTAAAAAAAAAACACTGCTAAGTGTGTACTTTTTACTTCGTGTTATTCAAAGGTTGCATGAAAGTACAACACAGTTTCATGCAGGATAAACCAGTTTGCTTTGCCATACTGTGAATTTACAGTAAAGCACTGTGTTGGACTGGTGCACAGCGGCTGTGGTGTTTATGGTCAGTGTTAGGTTACATCAAGGTTAGGCGAGGTCAATTCACTGAGTTATACATACTCCATACTGTCAGTATAGGGAATGGAAATAATCCGAGATAGCTAAATCCACAAAGAGCAATAAACCAGGTGAACTCTACAAATTGTGCCAACAAAAGTGCTCAAATATTCAGCCAGAACTGCCAGAAGTTTGCTGATGGCTACCAAAAGGTGTAACTGGTTGAGATGTAACTTGCACTGTTTGCTTACCAAATACTAATGGGGGTATGTGTATAGATTTTGACCTTGTATATGTTTTTTGACACTGTGTGTATTAGAGAAACATGAAAATAAATTCAAACCTGTGCACCCAATTTTTGTTTTTTTAAAGTCTTTAATGATGTATGTTGTACAATTCTTCCACCCTGAAAAAGGAACAGTTAAAAAATAATTAAAACCTCAAAAATACAGTTTCTTAAGATCAAATATTATACACACACACATATGTATCTTAATACATCTACATATATTTTTATAGTCTGATTTCCAATACTTTTTAATCTCTGAGTTCTTCTCAGTTATTCACGTCTTGATGCCCACTCAGGTGGCACAGCCTGCGTGCTGAGCGGTCAGCCATTTGACACAGCAAAGGTGAAGATGCAGACGTTTCCCACAATGTACCGCGGCTTCATCCACTGCTTCATCTCAACATTCCGGCAGGTGGGACTCCGTGGTCTTTACAAAGGCACAACGCCTGCCCTGATAGCCAACATCGCTGAGAACGCGGTGCTCTTCTTGAGTTATGGGCTCTGCCAGGATGCCGTCCGCTTTATGTCAAGGATGGACAAAGGCGCTGATCTCAGGTTGGAAGAAGATATTTCTGACTATTTATTTACATAATAACCTGCATAATATGTAACAGACTTCAGTGAGGAGCAGCTGGGTATAGCACAATTTGATGTTAAATGTTCATGTGAACCAGGACTCTCAGTTTTCAGTGTCTTGAGACATTTTCGGGGGTTCAATCCTCCACATTTTCTTTCCGCTCTGTGATTTGCTGCCTCCTCTTTTCACTCCCTGTGCAGAAAAGCATTTCATCATGTACTGAGATGCAACATCATAATCATAAGTGGGTGTGCTCACACAGTTTAAAACTTTAGATTAAGTGTCTTTCTTGGCAATTGAGAATGAAATAATAAAGTGAATAATAATTAAGTAAATTCCCCACAATAATAATTATCTATTGCAGCCAGAAATAGAAACTAAATGAAGAGAAATGGTTTTCAGTGACGCTCTTTAGAGACAAATGTTAAAATTGATGGAGCATTTTTAAAGGATTTAAGTTGTTTGGGATATTCATTTTGATTTTAATGAAAAAGCTTTTTTTTGTCATTCAATGAACTATAATGAAAATACTGCCATTAATATTACACATTGAACCCACTGAAATCATGCTCAGCCAAACGGGCTTTAAACTAATTGCAATTTTAAAACAACTTTCCTTAACCAGCTTTGTATTTTGAGCTGTCTGATCACTTTAAGAAATACCTTTTTCTACAGTTGTGCCACATTGCATTTATCACAACCTAAATCTTTATTTTATGTCACAGTAAACAGTGATTAGCATAAGAAAAAACTAGAAATGATGAGAATATTTCTTTGATGTAACTGCAAGGAAAACTTTTTCCTCATTTGAGCCTTTTTTTTTTTTTTTTTTTGCAAAAAAGGCCCAAATGAGTGTAGCTACTAATTTTCAGATGGTCACTCTCTTCCTAAGCTGTTCATCTAATTTTGATAATGGAATTTGGAATTGTATCAAGTATGAAATACAGCTTACATTATCTTTATTTGACCTTTCAGCCTCTTGCCTGAACTTGGATTTGAGCTTCCTAAAGCAGGAAATCTGTAATGCTGTAAAAGTATATGTTTTAGTAAGGCATATTTAAATGCGTATAACCTTTGCATTTCCTCTAATAGCTCTTTGGGAATCGCCTTCGCTGCACAAAAACATTGTTTTTGGTTGTCAAACTCTGTTATCTTTGTGATTTTTCATAAATTCAACTAAAGAAGCTGAAACAGATTGTGTTTTTGTAACAGGCTGCTTCTCTGCCTAAAGACACAGTTTAGAATTGGTTCTTTGCTAAGAATATCTGCTATATGTGTAGACACAACACTGGTTCATCTCTTGAGTTAAGTACCTTTTTATCTTTGAATGATTCATAGCTCAGTGTTAAGGAAATAAAAAAAAAAACATTCCTGTGAAACTGATCAGGTACAAGAATCTTGGAAAACTATTGCTCAACATGACTTTAAAATTTACAAAAAAGCCTGGCACCTTGGAAGCAAAATATATGAAATGAAATGAGTGTGACTCAAACCTTTTGCATAGTAGAGTCAGAAGCAGACTCATCACATTAAAAATCCATAAGGTTTAGCGCATTTATCTCCGTACCAAATGAGTGATATAATCACAACACTGGAAAACCGTCTTGGGAACAGTCATTAAATCGATATCCATTAAGAGCTCTTGATCGTCGGACACATGCCAGTTATTTGTGTATCAGCGGTCAGAGCAAACCTTAGCACTGGCTGCATGAGGCAGAAATAAAACAGTGTCTTTTTTGTAGTTCTAAAAATTGAAGATGGGGATGTACATTAAAACCCTTTCCTCTTCATACTCTTATCTTTTGTTGTACTTGTCATTGCTCGTCAGTGATCTTCAGAAGGCATCTGCAGGGTCTTTAGCTTCCATCTTCTCCTCCATGGCAATATGCCCCACGGAGCTGGTGAAATGTCGCTTGCAGGCCATGCATGAAATGGAAGCATCTGGCAAGGTGGCAAGAGGACAGAAAAGGTAAGTGGAATTAAAAACCTGACATTGTTACGACAAGAAAAGTTTTAGTTGACCAAAGCTGTGCTAGACTTTGTTTTCTGGGATGTCTTCAGCACAGTGTGGACTGTGGTTAAGACCGTGTTGAAGACAGATGGCCCGTTAGGATTCTACCAAGGACTGATGTCCACCTTCATGAGGGAACTTCCTGGTTACTTCTGCTTCTTTGGAGCCTATGAGTGGTGTCGGTCCACATTTGCGCGACACATGGGCACAAGCAAAGATGGTATAGGTATGGTTATATCATCTTCTTGTTGTATTTATGGTATTTTTGGAGTTTGTAGTATGTTTGACTCAAAATAGTTTCTGCCTTTGCAGGTATTCTTCCGCTGATGTTCAGTGGGGGATTTGCAGGAGGATGTCTTTGGTTGGTGGTCTATCCAATAGATTGTATAAAGTCCAGGATCCAGGTGTACTCCTTAGCAGGGAGGCAAGAGGGCTTCATCAAGACCTTCATGGGTGTTATACGCACTGAGGGTAAGGTTTGAACATGTATGCACAGATGAATATGAGTGGGTTTTCTGATTCTCTGTGTGATGATTGTAGTCTTGGGAACACATACTTTTGCAGGATGCACCCCAAATGCCATTTTGAATATATTGGCATGTGTTATATTTCTTTATGTCTGTGAACGTAAGTTAAAAAATATGATAGTGTCAGCAGTGTAAGCAGCAGTAGGTCACAAAACTTTACAAGTGTGTAGCTGTGATCCGATTGAAGGCCACAATTGAAGATGGGGATGGTTCTGACCCACAACATGTAACTAATCTTTAAAGAATGTGGGGTGTGGACTTTAAACTAGGACTTTAACCCTTGCTTTTGGCACCCTTTACTACTGGCTTATAGAATAGGACACACATGTGTTCAAAGTAGGCCCTTATCTTGATGCCAGGCTGTAATATTCAGAATCAGAAAACAATATCTAAGCAGACAAACCTCCCCACTTCATAGGAGGTGGGTAACAGTAAAAACTGAAAACAATTATTGTGAGAGACAATGTTTTATAACCTTATGTAACATATCAGAGATAAATGCACTATAAAACACTGTTCTGTGACATTGCAGCTTTAATAACTGTTATCTGTGTGATAAGGGTATATTGACAGACTGTCATTTTGAAATATTGCTAATTGGTCCATGCTCTTTTTTTTAATCTGTAGAGAACAGTCTGTGCAGCTTTTCCTCTTTGTCCCGACAGGGTTCACTGCTCTGTACTCTGGCTTAACTCCTACAATGGTGCGCACCTTCCCCGCCAACGGAGCCCTCTTCCTGGCTTACGAGTTTAGTCGCAAGTTAATGATGGATGCCGCTGGTGCCTGATGCAATGGATCTTTCCAACCAAAGCAAATATTTTAATAAAAAAAAAAAACCTTTATTTTTGCCAACTCTTTTTTATTTTTAGTGTGTGTGACCCAGTGGTATGAAACACTGTAATATATAAATATAATAAAAACAGAATCATATGTGAGTTATTTGGACTAAGATCTCAAGGAAAAAAGAGGCAGTACAAACACTGCACTTGAAAATGACCTTGTTCTTTTGTCAAGTCAAAAAAGAAATTACAGTTGTATTTTTGGCCCATTCACTTTAATAAAATTGGAGCATGTGTCATAAGATAGTGCAAATGCATTTAAATTACAATTTTATAAAAATGTAATGTAAAAAAAGTGAAAAACTTCAGGATCTCCACGGCCAAAAAAACCCCCAAACCAAAAAACCCACTCTTCCTAGAAAAAAAACAGAACATAAAGTTATACATGTGAAAACAAAAAACAGGAGAAACATTGAAAAATAAACACATCAGAAACTCCTGTGAATCTTTTCATGAAGGGTCCAAAAAGTCAGTAGACCCAACACTGCCAGACTAATGACTTTCCGTGTAAGGTTCAATATAATCTATATTCCATGAAATAGAATTTTAAACCTCATAAATAATCCTTAATTTTGTAAAAACTTGGGGAATCCATGGGAAAAATGCGAGGAAAACTACGTATCATCTTCTTTGAACATCACCTCTCATGTTTCATGACTTGGATACAACAATTATTTATTCATGTGACGGACTCAGGTGACAGACTGCTGAACTTAAATGTACGAAAGCACAAGAGCAGGACTGAGATAGCTTTTCAATACAAGAGCCACAAAGATCCTGGTTAAACAAAAATGGTTCATGTTACATCTTAGCAACCTAAAGGTGACTTACAGGGCAAGCGTGCCTCACTGTTGTAGAAAGCAACCGGTGTTAAGGGAAAAAGACCGCACCCACAGAGAGAACAGACACGTAAACAAGTGCAGTACTGTTCTAGCTTGCTCGATCACAGACAACCAATGATTTCTACAACATCCAGCACAGCAGAGATGGTCACACAGGATAAACTGCAGAAAAATGATGGCATTATTGAAGGTAAATACTTTTTATAACCCATTCTGAATGTTTATTTTTAGAATAAGGGATATAAAATAAGGGCTGATTTTTCTTCCAAGAAACCTTATGTTAAAGAGTCCAGAATTGTAGGAGTTGCATAGGACAGCTGTGCTGTGTAAAAGTCTTGTGCCTCACTTCATTTCTTTCTAATTTGCTAGGGAAATGTGTACAGTAAAAGATATAAAAATGTGTGAAAGTGGGAGTATAGTATATACTGTAAGGCAAAAGCACTTTTCTCTACATCTAAGGGATTTATTTCTATTTAACATTGGGAGCAATTCGGGGTTCAGTATTGTGCCGGGGGAGCCATCCCTGGAGCAGCTAGGATTGCTCCACCAACGTTCTGATTAACAGATGTCCCCGCTCTACATCCTGAGCAACATCCACCCCTAAATATATTATTCTTCAGCATTCCTTAAGTAGTCCTCAGGAATCCTGGCTTCGTAAAGGACATTCAAAGCCCTTCTTTGGATGCTGGCTGTCTTTTGTTCCATTCCTACACTGCTTCAGTGATATTGAGGTCCAGGCTTTGGGGAGGCCAATACATCACCAGTAGGGTTGAATTGTGCATTTTTCTATTTAAGCCAAACATACTGTAAACACGTTTAGTGCATTTACACTGTGCTTAGATCAAAATCTGATAGTACTTTTCACATGCATTCATCAGTTTTGACAAGATCTCCAACACCACTAGATGAAATGCAGACCCAAACTATTGCAAAGTCTCCACCATGTTTAACAGATGGCTGTAGACACTGAATTCAAATCACAATTTTCCAATTTGGATTCATTTCTCCATATGATCTGTTGCCACTGATTTTCCACTTCTTCTTTTGTACTTGTTCACTTTTAAGGACACACTACGCAGAAATATGCCAAGTGTTTGGTTTAAGTTGTGTTTCATGTGTAGGTACAACACTGGTCCATCCCTTGAGTTAGGGTCCTTTTTATGCTTGAATAATTCATACATTAGCATTATGTAGCATGACAAAAAAGAAAAAAAAATGAGGACTGGACAGAAAATGAGAGGAAAAGCAGCCAATGTCCAAAGAAAACCTTAGACATGCCTTCACATGCCTGGTGAAATGTTTCTCAGGACAAAATATAAAGAAATGATGGGTGGCTCAAGACTTTTGTAAGTAAATTTGATAAGAATACCGGCTCTTCAGTGCACAGCATAGATATTTAAATATTTTATTTTTTGCCTATAATTTGTACTGGGCTATTTTTATAGTAATATTTTAACACATTAATCATAGCTCCAAAAACTGTGAAAAGGAGGAAAGCAGTGAATTAATAATTACCATATATTTACCCAAATATCCTTAACCTACATAATCATTTGGCATATTAATTTAATATACATCTTAATCACATTCTATTTTAACATCACTTATTGCATTTCAATAACATGGCCTTTCATTAGAAAAGCATTAGTCGTCACCATTTATCATAATTGGCTGGCGTATTTTTAATATTAGAAGTAAATAAATTAAATTATCCGTAGTTATGTATTAGCTTTGTGTCTTGTTTAAAAGATTCACCTGAAAGTCTTCCTGAAAAGACTTTTTTTTCTCTCCCACCCTGTATATGACACAGAGAGTGACATCTCAGTGTTTTAATGATGATATTTGAATAGCTCAGTGAGTTTGCACAACACTTTGTGACTTATGTGGATTTTAAGCTACGTGCCTTCCCTTAGAAATTATTTACATCATTAGTGAAATAGGAGCAGTGTAGATCCATTACATCTCTCGGCACTAATGTTCTATGTCACCTTTAATAAAAGGTGGCGTCCCAGTGGAGCATATTACTGGATAATTATGTCATCAAAGTAACACCAAGAACTTATGGTTTGAATTTAAATGTGAAATGAAGCTATGAAAAAAAAAAAAAGCAAGATATTGTACATACCCTGCACTTTAAAGACTTGTAAAGTGCTTCTGCTCTTTTTGCAGATAAAAACTCAGGGAAACTGGGATGCTGTGGTTGGCTGTTGGTTTTCATATCCATCATCTTTGTAATAGTAACCTTTCCACTCACAATATTTATGTGTGTCAAGGTACAGTATATTCTCATTGCGGAGCACTGCTTATTAGGATTTAATCACTATTTCTTCACATAGATGTGTATACATACCATGAAAAAAATACTCCATTTATATTTCTGTATTTCTTATTTACTGTTGTGCGATTGGTTGTCTCCAACATTCAGATAGTGAAGGAGTATGAGCGAGCTGTCATCTTTAGACTCGGCCGGATCACAGACAAAAAAGCTAAAGGGCCAGGTTTGTGGTTAAATATACAACAAACACTTTGGTTAAGCCATCCCAGAAACCAAAAGGAAAAATAAAACGGTTGGCTTTGGAAGTTGACTCCACATTATCATCTGAACTGCCTTTTATCTTTTTCCAGGACTTTTCCTAATATTACCCTGCACCGATAACTTTGTGAAAGTAGATCTGAGAACTGTGTCCTTTGATATCCCTCCTCAAGAGGTATATTCTTGCTTTGTTTTATTATGAAAGCACTCTGTCTCTGTTATCTCATGCATCACAAGCCATTTGTAGTTTCTGTCAGTAAATAAACTGCAATTTTTGTAAACATTTGCAGATCCTAACGAAAGACTCTGTGACAGTGTCTGTGGATGGTGTGGTTTACTTCCGCGTATACTGCCCCATTTCAGCGGTGGCTAATGTGACCAATGCGCACTCATCTACTCGACTGCTTGCTCAAACCACTCTGAGGAATGTCCTTGGTACCAAAAACCTTGCAGAACTTCTATCTGACAGAGAGGGCATTTCACTCAGTATGCAAGTGAGGATAAAGTGCTGTTACACCTATTACAAAAATTTTCATTTACATTTATATATAAGCATACCCTTTAAAAAAGGTAAGAAAAGCCTTATTACAGATACTTTTAGAGCTCCTTCATTCCCCCCCGCCATTCAAAGAACACTTTTTTTTTTGGCCACAAGGAGAATGCTAGAACAAGTAGAAGCCACTGGTTTTCTCACTGTAGAGTATAAAGTATTTGATTTGTTGTTTATTAAACTATAACTGTGACTAGAGTGTTTGATATTGGATGTTACCCTGCAGGAAGCCCTGGATGAAGCCACTCATCCATGGGGTATCAAAGTGGAGCGTGTAGAGATCAAAGATGTGAAGTTGCCTCATCAGCTGCAGCGAGCCATGGCAGCAGAGGCTGAAGCCAGCCGGGAGGCCAGGGCCAAGGTAATGAGAGGAATGGAAGACTGAATTCAATTTCCTTTTCATGTATTCAGGCCCAGAAATGAAACATCAGAAGATACTGATCGTCTGCCTATATTTCAGATCATTGCTGCAGAGGGGGAGATGAATGCTTCCAGGGCTCTGAAAGAAGCCTCTCTGGTAATGGCTGACTCACCCTCAGCTCTCCAGCTAAGATACCTTCAGACTCTCAACACCATCGCAGCAGAGAAGAACTCCACCATCATCTTCCCTCTGCCAATAGATATAATACAACATTTCATGCATTGGAAGGCATGAATCTCATGTCAACCAAGTTGCATATAATTCAAATCAAGTCAGATTGTCGCAGATTTGTTTTGTTTTTTTGCAATATTACCATGTTTACATTTAGAAAGCTCCAGTGAGAGCTTTTTTTAAATGCAGGCCTAATGTGGTTATTGCTGCAATCTGCTCTGCATTATTACTTATTAACCTTAAAAAGAGGCTCTCCCTTCTTGTGTATACTTGCTGTGATTTAATACTTAAATACAAAGTGCAACATATACAGTATAGACAATACTTCTCATCATTCACCACAATATGTTAACCAGCTAAGCTACAGTTACAGTTTTGAGGGATGACAATAAATAAATGTGCAGGAAGTGTAAGGTCAAAACAATGCACGTAAACCTTATAAAGGCATGCTTTCAGACAACCGTATCCAGCGCATGAGTTTCTGAAATACTGAATAGGAACAAAAATCATGTAAACAACAGAAGCAAGGCGATGCAGCAACCTTTTCTGACATTGGACATAAACTGTAAACAAAACCTCTTATTCTAGTGTCGGACAAACATTCGGTAAATGAGTACAAGGTCATGTCCACAGGACACAGGCATTCAGTGCAATCAGAGTACCTGATGGAGAGAGCCATCATTTCCACTTCCTTTCAAAACACCCACCAGCGATGAAGCTAAACATAATCAACTTGTATTAACAATAAATTTAACTCACCTAGAACCAAATCCCTATTTCAGCAGATTTCCATACTTTATGTCTGAGGGAATGGATAAAAGAAAGCCTGCTTTATTACAATGTATTAATGTCATAAAATCCCATTTCACTTAATTATTATGCGTTTCCTGACTGTGTTAGGCTCTTTAAAATAGTTTTTTACAGAACGCTTACATCCAAATAAAATTTCTAGAAATGTTATCTGGCAAAACAGACATTTGAGACAGGTGGTTATATGTAAACATGAAAAAAAATACAATACAAAAAAAGGCAGTTGCTTCCTTTTGATGACTCTTAATTCTCCTCAAGACCTGAGATTATTCTCTACAATGAGAAATGAGGTAACATTGCAATCAGACTCTCGTGCTTATTTTGATGGAAATGTAATCAGTTTGGGGTTTTTTGTCAATTGCGGTTAATTCTTTCTCTATAAAGATTTCTGTGGTGAAAACACACACAAACAATCAAAATAATAATAAACATCAACAGAGAAAACAGCAATAGTTTCAGCTAGCTGCCAGAGCCCTGACAGTATAATCTTAAAATGCAACAAAACAGATAAATGTTTTGCAACGTCTGCACCATTTATGGCTGATTCGGCAGCAATTAAGTCCAACCATATGACAGCTACAGTACTTAATGAACTGCTGTATTCAATGATTTCCTCTTTGGTGGTTTCTATGTAGTCTGCATGTTCACTTTGTAGGACATGTTTATAAACTGCTCAACAACAAAAAAAAGTGAACACTTGATCATCACAGCATAACACAAACTGAGCTAGACGTCAGGAATTAGACTGTCCAGTAAGGAAGCAAAACCAGCAGCACTGGAGAAGCATCAAGAAGATCCACCAAACACTGAATGATGCTGCATGTGGTGACCATACACTGCTGTCTTCTCTTATCCTTTCTTATTTTTCTGCAGTTTTGCTCTTTGCTTGTGTCACTGTCACTACTGGTAGCATGAGACTGTACCTGCACAAGTAGCCCAGCTCCTCCAGGATGGCACCAGAAGATGGGAAAAGAGGAGTCATATTAAGAGAGAACAGGGGCTAAAGCACGGGCATCAACCTAGCTGCAAAACCAGTATCTGCTCCTCAGTGCAAGGAAGAACAGGTGGAGCCAGAACCCCTCAAAATGACCTCCGGCAGTTTACTCATGTACATGTTTTTGAACATACTGTCACAAGACAGTCTCGATATGTCTTTTTGCAGGACCTGTGCAATTCTGCCTCCCCAGACCATCACTGACCTACTGCCAACCCAGTCATGCTGGATGATGTTACAGGCAGCAACGTTACCAATGGCATACTGGAGGTCATTTTCTAGGGCTTTGCTAGTAATCTGCACAAAGGCACAAAGGAGCAGATCTACGGCCTGTCCAGGTCTGCTCATACAACAGCCCATCACCCCTGGGGTCTTCTCCACACTCTTGGAGTAAAAAAATCATTCTGAAAGGATCAGGAATAAGCAAAGATGTATGTGAACACGTGTTAAACCTTTACCTTCTTGGAGATTTTCTTGTTGTTTCATTTGCACAAAGGCAGATTAAATTGATTAGTAATAATTTTTTTGCTTCCTAACCGGACAGACTACTATTCCTGAAGTTTAACTGACTTTGCTTCATACTGCGATGATCAAGTGTTAACCTTTTGAGCAGTCAATTATATTAATTCATCTGAAGGGTGTGAAGGGCATCAACTCACCTAGTGTGAAATGTATAACGCAATGTTTTACCTTTAATGAATCCTGTTCAAGTTAATAAGAAATTCCTTTTAAATCGCGATGCTCCACTGCCCTTCCGTGCCACTTCATCACACTGTAGGCAATCCTAAAATATAGTTAATTATAACTGGAAGACAGATCATGCTTTAAAGAGAGCAATACATGTACAGATTTTACAAAGTATGGTCAGGAAAACTGTTGACTGTGTTGGCAGTTCAGAAGATACAAGTTGGGTTGTTGTTGTAGCCACACATTTCAGGTCAATGCTAATATGCAAGTTAAAGTAGCATGGATGATTGAGGTTAAACGGCTTGATATTCACTCATAAACTCCTACAATATTTCAGGATGAAAAGGATAATAAGCCCCAGAGAAGAATCTGAACATTGAGAGTAATACTGTAGGTAGTTTTGTGATTTTACTCACAAAAAGAATTTTCCTTGTCCTGGTGGATGCTGCTGGTGGGAGAGAATGGATGGCAAAAGGCGCTTTTTGTGTTTGTTGTTGCACTTTTGATTATCATTATGTCTTGTACATCCATCATCCTGAGCGCTGGATGAGAAGATGGAGATGGCGAAAACATGGAAATGAGGCACCGTGATTTTCATTCTGCTCTCCAATCAATCTACAATCTGTGGGAGTTTTTCAGTGCATCTGCTGTGTGTTGCGTTCGTGTGGAGTAGGAAAATCTGAGGGCAGAGAATTCCTTCTTTTAGTAACAGGTGTGATTAACAGTACAATTGGTTAGGTCAGTGGGGTTCAAACTTTAAATCACATAGGCAAGTGGATTTTCCCAACAAACAGACCTATTTGTGTTTATATAGTGTAACATCCATCCCTCTTCTGATTGAGAGAAACATTCACCCAAGAGGTTTAAAACAAATGAGGCCTTCTGATTCCAGCTAAAAGCTTTTGGTGACGAGAACTTCCAGAAGAGCATCACTGGTGATACGAGTGTGGACGGGCAGGAGAGCCTGGTCCAGAGGGTGGCCGATGGATAGGGGAGGAGCTGGGGGACATGTGAGGACTCAGCTCTCCGGTCTGTAGGCGCCACAGCAGCTCCTCATTGGTGCGACTAAGGCGCTTCTTCTCATTGCTCTCCTTCTCCACGTTCACTTGCAGATTAGCATTCTCTTCAGAGAGTTGCCTAAAGTGACAAGGAAAAGGTCACGTTGTGTGGTCACTTTTTTTTTTTCTTACTGATTTTTGCACGTTAACTGTTAAAGTTCATCACAACACAAGGAGAAAAAGACTGAACAAGTATGGCTTGTTTGGAACAACTGTCAGGAGAAAACCTTTTCTCTAAAAAAAATGTATGGCAGCACAGTTCAACTTTGCAAAAATCCATCTGAACAAACTTTTCAAAAGTACTTCTGGAACAATGTCCTCTGGTCATAATGCACAGCACCATGTTTGATGAAAACCAAACACAGGATAACAGCATAGCATCAATGCCTCCTATCAAGTGTCAAAGACGGTGGTGGAGCGACGATATCTGCTTATTTTTCTAACCACATGACCCAGGCACCTTGCTATCATTGAGTTGACCGTGAGCTCCTCTTATACCATCTGTCTGACAGCCAAACAAGCTTTATCAAAATTGAGTCAGGCAACAGGACAATGATCCCAAGCACAGCAGCAAATCTGCAACAGAATGGCTGAAAAAGAAAAGAGTCAAGGTGTTCCAGTGTTGGGCCACTGCTTGATTCAGTGTTAACACAGAATCCAGTCAAGGAATGGCCCATCTAAATCACATCATTTAGGTGAATTATCCCTTTTCTGTTGCATCAGTTTACTGAGCTTCACCAGCATTCGTTTATGCTCTCTTAAGATAGGATCACCCAGTGTTAACACTGTGTGCTGTGATTATCTAAATGATGCAAGAGACTGATAATATTATGCACAAAACAATTATTCCAAGTTACCAGTGGTGGTTCTATAAAGTATTGAATTTCTGCATTCAGAATTATGGGTTTCATTATTGTAAATGTTTCTAAACATTAATTATGTGTAGAGTTTGCATGTTTCCTCCGTGTTCGCGTGGGTTCTCTCTGGGTGCTTCCTCCTACAGTCAGAAGACATGCAGTTAGTGGGGATAGGTTAATTGGAAACTAAATTGCCCATAGGTGTGAATGCTTGTCTGTGTCTATGTGTTAGCCCTGCGACAGACTGACGACCTGTCCAAGGTGTACCCTGCCTCTCGCCCTAACACCGCTGGGATAGGCTACAGTCCCCCTGCGACCTTGAAAAGGATAAGCGGATGAGAATGGATGGATGGATGGATTAACTGACCTCTATAAACAAAAATATTCTGTATAACATAGATGACGTATCCAGAAAACTGCAACACTTCTAAGACAAGAAAGCACCAAGCACAGTTACATCTCGTGGTTGGAACTTTAATCAGCACATGTATGGATTTTCTCTGACCTGGACACAGCGAGATTCTTGTCTATTTGTTCCTTCAGGTCCTCATTCTGCTGTTGTAACACTTGTAGTTTCTCCTCCAGGAACACATTCTTTGCAGCCTGCTCAAAAAACACAGGTAACACAGTACACCACACTAAAATACTTGTGGAACGAGTGAAACAGTGGTGCAGGCTAAATGATTTGGGTTTACAAAGGAAACATTAGCGCTAATGAAAGTAGATGGGAGGTAAATGGGAAGGCTGCAGTAACGATACACTTGACAACTAATGAAATCATTCATAAATCTCAGCAAGCTGCCATGAATCATACCAACTTAAAATAAGTTTTAATGCACTGGATATTTTGCAACATACTCCAGATGTTCTCTGGTAAAAACTTGAAACCTACTATTTTCTCCAGTTCTGAAATCTTCAGCTCCTGCTGATGGATTTGTTGATTTTTCATCTCCAGAACTTCTTTGAGGCTCTTCAGGTCCTCCTCAATGTGTTTATAGGGAGCCAAAGCATCCTTTTAAAAAGCATTAAAAAACACCACTAAGCTGTAAAACCAATCAACAAGTTTTATGCTGTTAATGTTGCTACTGTCACATCAGCAGTAAGCAGTGTATCGTGAAGCTCTTACCACGATCTGCTCATCTGTGCTTTTGCGGAGAGCTTCTTCAAATCGTTTTGCTCGATCTCTGAGACTACGGTTCTGAAATGTCAGTGTGTCCACCTGATCCTGATGACCATGGATATTAAACTGTTAGTGACTTAAACTATTAACTAGGTCATATTATGAATTTTTAAGGAGAACTGTTAACCTGCAGTGACAGTCTGATCTTTTCAAACTCTTCTTCCAAAGACTTCCTCTGTTGTTCATGGGCCATCTTCAAATCTGACACGAGAAACACACACCGTCATGTTTCTTGACCTGCAGTGATTCAGCGCAGGGTGGCAACAGGTTTTAAATGGGGTGCTTACTCTTCACAGTCCTGGCATGCTCCTCTTGCAGAGTGGCCAGTGTATCATTGTGAGCCGTCTCCATCTCCATCAAGGACGCCTCATGGTTCTGACTCATCTCCTCAAGCTGCAGGCAACAATTACAAAAATAACTCATCAGTGCTACCCGCTGTTCACATACATGCGTATATATGAACACCATGCAACACACTATTTTCTCCCATTTTTGTTTCTCTTTAATAAATGTTTCTGTTAATATTTTATAAATTTTAAAAAATTCATAGATAAAAATAACCGCTGCGATTTACTTTTGTCTTTTAGATAAACTCGTGTTTTTAGTTAAATTGCACTCTCACTTCTCATATGAGATTTAGATAAACATGGCAGTTCATATCCAGGCTGCCTAGCACAGACCTGCTCCTGCTGTTTGAAGTGTAGCTCTTCCAGCTCAGCTCGCTGCAGGGCCTGCAGACTATTCGTCTCATCCACGTGCTGTGCTTTCAGCCGCTCCTCCAGCGCTCCCAGCTCCTTCTGCTGTTGAGCCCGCAATCCCTGCAGCTCAGACTCAAAACGACGCTCCAGTTCCTCCTTCTCCTGCTGCAACTGCTCCCAGTGTGCAACACTGACAGCTGGAATAGAGACAGAATAGAAGAGACACAGACAAAAGAAAAAAACATCCTAAAAAGACAGGCAAGTCATTTCGACTCCACACAGTCTTGGTTTTTCTTTATTTTTTTCACTCTTCTGGTGTTATATGTAACAAGGGTAGTTTTAAAAGTAAGAAGGGTAAATCTATAAAATTCTTAATATATTTTTAATTGTATTACAAGTCTGTTCTAAAGTGTGACTTGAACTGTGTCAACATAGGAGTTTTTTTGTTGTTGTTGTTGTTTTTTTACTTTATTGACCAGACACACACCTTAACGTTCAGTCTAAGACTAAATCTAGACTGCTGTCTGCAAAGTGAATTCCCATGGGCCATGTGGTCAAACACTCGGTAATACATCATGGGTTGCAAGCGATGAGTGACTCACTGCCTTCTCTCCTCCCTGTGGTGCCATAACTGTAACGCCGTATTCCACTTACCCACTTCATCACGGATTCTGGCAAGCTCCAGGGACAGTTCCCTCTCCTTCACAATGGCACTCTCACTCTGAAAAGACACACAGCGACATACATCTCTAGACAGTGCAAATGGATTTAGGTGTTTCTTGTCAGTGCAGCAGCAAAAATCAAGCATGTAATTCTAATAATGCAAGATCTTTGTCATAGATGCTAATGGTGGCTGTAAGAGAGCATGACAAACAATGCTAACAGGTCGGGTTTTTAAACCGGCTCCCACCAATTTCACTACAGTTTGTTATGCTGTGAAGCTCGGGTGAATCAAATGTGGATGTGTTAAAAATTTGCCCTTTTGGAAGATTTGTTTTTCTTTCAGCAAATGATGCAAGATAATTTACTCAACCGTTTCATGTAGATATTGCACTCAAGAACACAGAGTAACAGGACGCGTCAGTGCAGTGCTACTGGATATTAGGACTTCACCGATGTGATGTGTCGTGTGGAAAACAGCATTTAGGGATCTTAGATAATGACGTGCATATTTTTGCTACGTCTCAGAGTTGTAAAATAAATAAATAAATACAAATAAATAAAAAACAGTATGCATTTTACATTGTAACAAATCCATAACCAACTACTTCTATTTACTATCATTGGCTTAAAATATGCCACGACACATCAGACTAAAGACGAGAAATTTCACTGTCTAAAGTGGGGTGTCTGTTGCTCATACGTGGGTAGAGCAAAGACATAAGGAACTGTGATAACATTTTCTAAAATATATCTTCAATCATAAAAAAAAAAAAGGTTATTATTTTCTATATACATAGAACCAGAATGTCAGTATATTACATATTGAAAACAGTTCTCCTGAAACTAGCTTCTTTTATCAGGAAGGAGAAACTTCAGCCAGTGACAGGAGACTTTAGAACCTTATACTTTGTTTTGCTCAACAGCGTTTTGTACTTTGTTAAGCACAGTTTCTTGTATAGTGTTATGGTTTAAAATAAACACATTTCGTTATATAAAGATATACTTTTGTTGTTGTTTTTTTCAGAAATAAAATCAGAAAGTAATAACTATGTAACAAAGTAACAACTTTCCGTTTAAAGAAGAGTCTTAGTTTATATCAGGTCCCACTGAAGACAAAGTTAGAGAAGTAAGGCTGAGATGCTTTGGACATGTGCAGAAGAGGTGGCTATACTGGACAAAAGATGTTGACAATGGAGCTGCCAGGTAGCAGGAAAAGAGAAAGACCACAGAGAAGATTCATGGATGTAGTCAAGGAGGACACACAGAGGGTTGGTGTGACTGAAGACGATGCTAGGGATAGGATTAGAGGCAGATGATCCCTTAAAGGGAGCAGCCAAAAAAGAAAAAGAAAAATCTTATACTGTTCACCAATAGCTTGGAGAAATTAAAAATGCATCCCAAAAAAGAGCTTTGGTCTTAGGGGGATAAAGAACAAAAAAATGAAGTTAATGTATGAATTGATATGCAATGGTACAACAGCTCGTATGAAGGAAAAGTTAACATTAGGCTGATTTATTTATTTATTTTTACCAGGCCTTTCTTTCTCACATTTCTGCTTCTAATTAAGCTTTAACCTCCTAGGACCTGGCGTCCACATATGTGGACATCACATTTTGGGTTATTTAGACCAAAATACTCAATTTTGCTCTACAAGGGCCTAAAATCCACTTACGAGGACATTATACAGCTACTATTCTATAAAAAATTTAAAAGAATATCCTCATTTGTGGCTCTCATTTTTCTTACAAACAAAAATCAGGTAAAAAAAATAAATCTGGTAATTCTTTGTTTTTACATTCATCGGGCCCCAATATGCCCAAATATCAAAGAGAAATTAAAAACGCATGCTGTGGAAGAGTTCGGGTCTTAGGAGGTTAACGCTAAATAATTAAGCAAGTTATACCATACAGCACTTGCACAGGCTATGTGTGATACATGTGTTTTCTCTCCAGAATGTGAAATGACTGCAGAAGACTTTAAAAAAAGGAGGTGGGGGGGGGGACGGGACACAGGAGATACAACGAAAAGGAGAGAGGCAGGTGAAAAATGTATGAAACAGTAAACAGTATGCCACAGCAGTCATGATGTCACCCTCTAAGAGGTTTTACTGGGAACATGAAGTCATCAAGAAGTCTCTGCAGTGACCTCAGGAGGGTCAGCAGCTTTTTCATTTCATACGCTTTAGCTCCACCTCTGCTCCTACCCATCGATCCACGGTCCTGCCCACAAGACATCCAATTCAAATCTCTGGGGAGTTATGTGACATGCATTTTAATTTCCCCATATGATCTTCATATAATCCATCTTTAGGATGCCCATCACGATGGTTTTCTTTATCAGTTACACTGTTTTGCTATTTTTACAAACTCCTTTATTAATCATCAAATATAGAAAGTGACCATCATAATGAATCAAAACCCCTCAAAAAGTTCAGATATGAACAATATCCTGTTTCCACTCATATAGAAGAGGAAAAAAAGAACCAAGTTCTCAAATTAGAGAAGCCTAAACAAATTGTCTATAGTTTTGTTTATTATTAATGTCTGTATTAATTAATTTTTTCAGTCTGTATTACTTTAATCTAATAAATCAACTTATTATTACAATAATTTCACTAGAGTACAAAATATTACTAAGTTAGTTGATCTAATTAGTGGTACCACAAACAGCTTTCAGTGTGCAGCTGTTTTTTTATTTAGACTTTGTCCCAAGCAGAAGAGTGCATAGTTAACACACAGGAAACTATAATATATATGTATGTATATATAATATATAATAACATATAATAAACCCAGTTAACCAGTAGGGATATAAAAAGGATGCAATGAAAACACCAAAAAAAGAAAAATCAGCATACAGCACAGTAGCAATGGCATTTTATATTGTATGTCCCTGCAAACTGTTATAAAATGAAAGAAGCATGCTCAGTGTGAAAGACAAGCCTGCTTTGACTCAGCATAATCATACACAGCTTTACATTGTCTATCAGGCTCTGTCTCTAGCAAACAAGTGAACATAATCATCATATAAATAGACCCCCCCAAACACTAAACACTTGCGAACAGCCACATATACATAGAGGAATCCTCGGTGCTCAAACAAGCTCGCTGCCTGCAGAAGACTGACTGACTTTACCGTTTGGTCGAGACAGAACAGACGGAAGAAATGGAGCCTACAGCAGCAGTGGCCCATACTAGGCTAGCAGATAGCAGCAGCATCCCTTAGCCGGCTCGGGAGGCAGCAGTGACAGATGCGAGTTCCAGAAAGAAACAGTAAGGGAGACAGAGGGGGAGGGAAAGAGAGGGGAGGAGAGATGGAAAGACCAAAGCCTCACCTCGTTTCCTGGTTCGTGACCATCATTTATCCCTGCTGGAACAAAGACTGCCGGCCCCAGCCCAGCTCTGCCTGCCTTCCTCTTAAACCCCCACCAACACGCCCCGTATCACATTCACACGGATGGAAGGGAACAACACACACACACACACACACACACACACACACACACACACACACACACACACACACACACACACACACAGTCTTTTGCATGTATGAGAAAAAAATTTAGCAAAAGAAGATGGGGAGGGAGATGATCAGTGAGTAGAGAATGATAAGCTCTGATGCTCAGCTGGAAGATCATATCTACAGACACTGATGTGCATAACAGAACAAACACACTTCATTAGAAACCAAAACACTGCTTTGAATAAAAACTGTCCTGCAAAAATATCTATATGAACAAATACCTCATTAAAACAAAAACACTTCAAATCAGCTAGCTTAACCCAATATTAACCATCTAGTGACCTCTTCAATGCACTCATTACAACATAATTAAACCACATCAGCACATGTTGTCACGCATCCTAAAACAGAGTATGCACCCATGTGTGTAGATAGCTTGGAAATGCTTGGAAAGATCCACTGTTAAAATTTAGAGGGGATTCTGTCTTGCAATCAGTCTGACCAAAAGCAGAGGCAGGCCATACAGGCAGCTCTAATCTCATTAATCTTTGGTTGTAGAGCACCACCAGCGGGTGTGGCTGACAAATATATTAAATGCAAACAGAAGACTAGGAAAGGTTAAACCAAGTGCTGAATAGAGACTGAAAGAACAGAAAACACTCTGTCAGTCTCATCTGAGCAGCATACAGGAAAAGCAAGAGTGATTAAAAAGAATATTAAATATCAAATGTGTTTCGATTCCACCGAGTCACCCATCCAGCAGCAGCACCAGAAGAACAGACACAACAAGATACACCACACCCCCCTATCAAATGCATGTCAATATACTTGCATGTATACAAACTCACAACACATCCCAAAAGCATTCTCTTTCTTTATACTAGAAAAAAGCACCTTTGGAAATCCTCAGCATTTCACTACCAACTATCAAAAGAGGCTGCCTTTAGAGTCATTCAAAAGATGTCACAAGAGGGTTAAAGCAAGCGGCTCCCTTTGTGAACAAAGCAATCCTGACAACAAAAGACAGAAGCTACAGGTTTGTGCAAATGACTCCAACACAGTGTGTAATCGCATTCTGGAGCTCACTGCAACATTTGCATTGCAGTTTTTGACTGTAACCCTACAAAACACTGCCATTCAGTAACACAATGAATCTACAAACATATTGCAAAGGATGCAACTTTAATGAGGAACTTGTTCTGTGTCGCATTAAAGCAAACTTGCAGGGTGATTTTAAAAGAATAGTTTGAATGCTGCTACATATCAAGATATGTTACCGTTACAGACTCATGCAGCAACAAGCAAGCTCTCTTTTCATAACTCTCAACTAAAACTCCAACATTTTTATGCAAGAAAACATCAAATCCCTCAAATTCATCAAATACTGGTTTAGCTTCAATTATTAATGCAGTAATTTTAATTTGCAAAGACAAAAAATATCTGCCTGTGTATTTTAGGTTGAGACCAAATGTTATTAGGATGGCGTAATATTTAATATTAAGGATATTGTTATACAGTGTAAAACTGCTAAATTTTATACAGACATTTGGACACATGTAGTTGGACATGGGTGATTTGTTGACAAATATTTTTATTTATGCTGCCTTTTGATAATGATGACGTTGTATATTTTCTCTTTTACCTCAGGAGGAGGTTTAACGAGAATGAAATAAAGTCACAGCATTACAATGGTAAATGGTAATGGTAAATGGCCTGTATTTATATAGCGCTTTACTAGTCCCTAAGGACCCCAAAGCACTTTACATATCCAGTCATCCACCCATCCACACACACATTCACACACTGGTGATGGCAAGCTACATTGTAGCCACAGCCACCCTGGGGCGTACTGACAGAGGCGAGGCTGCCGGACACTGGCGCCACCGGGCCCTCTGACCACCACCAGTAGGCAACGGGTGAAGTGTCTTGCCCAAGGACACAACGACCGAGACTGTCCAAGCCGGGGCTCGAACCGGCAACCTTCCGATTACAAGGCGAACTCCCAACTCTTGAACCACTATCGCCCACAATCACATGTGATTCGCACGCTTTGAGGTGAAGGGACCAGAGGCAGCAGCAGCAAAAACATCGGACAGCAGCAGCCCAAGCCTCATAGTGCAGGAATATGAGGTGAGGCGCACACTGAGGGCAGTGAACCCCAGGAAGGCCGCCGGACCAGATGAGGTAACCGCAAAGGTCCTAAAAGAGTGTGCAGACCAGCTGGCTGGGGTCTTCACTAAGATCTTCAACACTTCACTGTCCCAGTCCTGCATCCCGCCGTGCCTAAAGTCAGCCACAATTGTCCCACTGCCAAAGCGTACTAACATTAGCAGCCTCAACGACTACCGACCAGTTGCTCTAACACCTGTTATAATGAAGTGCTTTGAGAAACTGGTCCGACGTCACATCATGTCCTGCCTGCCACCCACACTCGACCCGCTCCAGTTTGCATACAGAGCTAACAGATCAACTGAAGATGCCATTGCTACAACGCTCCACACCACCATCTCTCACCTGGAAGTGCAGGGCCGTTACGCCAGGCTGCTCTTTGTTGACTTTAGCTCTGCTTTCAATACGATACTCCCGGACAGACTAATAGATAAACTGCTGGAAATTGGACTTCCTTCCACCACCTGCCGCTGGATCAGAGACTTCCTCTCAGACCGTGTACAGAGAGTTAGAGTGGGGCCTCATCTTTCCTCAGCCCTCAGCCTCAACACCGGCTCTCCACAAGGCTGTGTACTGAGTCCCCTACTGTACACTCTGTACACACATGACTGTGTTAGTTCCCACCCAGACAACACAGTCATCAAGTTTGCAGATGATACCACTGTGGTGGGGCTCATCTCAGGGGGAGATGAGACTGCATACAGAGCTGAAGTTCAGAGGCTGTCAGATTGGTGTGCAGACAACAACCTGGACCTCAATACCACCAAAACAAAAGAACTGGTAGTTGACTTCAGAAGGAGGAAGTCCGAGCTGCAGCCTGTCAGCATCAACGGGGAGTGCGTGGAAAGGGTCTCCAAATTCAAGTTTCTGGGTGTGCACATAGACACAGACCTCCAATGGAGCTCTAACACCTCTGCGGTCTTAAAGAAGGCCCAACAGCGTCTCCACTTTCTGAGAATCCTCAGAAAAATGGACCTGAAGAAGGAGCTGCTGACCGTCTTCTACCGCTGCTCCATTGAAAGTGTGCTGACATATTGCATCGGTGTGTGGTTCTCCAGCTGCACCACAGCACACAGAAAGGCACTCCAGAGGGTCATCAACATGGCCCAAAAAATCATTGGACATCCTCTTCCCTCCCTGAAGGACCTGTACAGCACTCGCTGTCTCAAGAGGGCACGCAGCATCCTACGGGACTGCACACACCCAGGACACCGGGTGTTTAAGCTGCTGCCGTCTGGCAGGAGGTTCAGGCTGCTGAGGTCCCGAACAAATAGACTCAAGGACAGCTTTTACAACAGGGCAACAGCCCTGATCAATGTAAATAGCTGACCTGACTGGATACCTCCCTGGACTTTTTAGGGGGAGGTAACAATGTTTAAAACGATAACAATAATATTTATATTTATAACAAGGTGCAATAATAATTAATGTGCAATAATAACAGTGTGCAATACACATACACTTATTCTTCTTTTTTATACTATGTTAATATACTGTGTTGTGTTGTTTGTTACGTTGTGATGTGTCATATCGTGTCGTGTTGTGTTATATGTAGTGCCGACGTAGGACAGTTTTTCCAATTTCATTGTACTACTGTACTATGTATGACTGTGCAATGACAATAAAGAGTTATCTTATCTTATCTTATCTTATGTGTCATACACACGTAGTCCTATTTTAGGATTAAGAGTGAAAGAATTGGAACACTGCACTCTTACTCGGCTTTCAAAGTCTGCGGTCGACCTTGCCGGGATTGCAGAACTCTGCTAAATCTTACCTTGTGACAGAAGTGCTGAGTAGTGATGCTGAAAACATCCAGGCACAGCGAGGCTTTCTTTAACTGAGCCTGCAGAGTCTGTAGCTGCAGGGCCTGCCGCTCACATCGCTCCCGCAGCTGCTGGATCTGAGCGCGATCCACCTCCTGTGCCTTTTCGGTCTGAATGGCTCCAAGAACTGCTGTTGTCCGACCACGAACTGCAGATACGCAAAACAGGCAGAAGAATATAGTATGTTGATGTACTTTTCCTCAGACTTATTATAGAAATAGAAATATATAGACAAACAAAACAAACAAGTCAATTTATGTGGATGCTGCTGATGTAAAAGTGGATTATATGTGCAGTATGAAAACCCTTATCACCTGCACTGTTTGGCCTGTTTGGTCTCTGAGAAAAGCAGAAGTTGCTGATTTGTGCTGCTGTAATCTGAGCCAGCAGTACTGCTCCTGAAGGAGCCATCCTAGCATTAGAGCTACCGTGCTTTGTTGCTATGGCAACATCATGGTGCTATGGGTAAAGTCTGGGATGAAGTGCGGCGAGAGAGCAAGAGCGACACGGAATGAAAAAGTCACTGCAAATTTTAAAGATACAGTAGCAGCTGATGGTCCTGAACAAAAACCCCTTCTTTTTACCAGTTAGGAAAAAAACCAAAGAGACATCATGGTATGTTAAGCACATCATGGTACGTTAAGCACACCTTATGTGCCTATAGTTTGTGTTTAAATGTATGCGGTGTGACAGGGCTGACTCACCAGGGGATTGTGGCTTGGGAGAAACCACTGCAAGTCTTTTAGGGGAGGACTTTGGTGACAGCTCAGCCTCTGCATCCTTCTGTAAATCTCTCCTAGTCACTGTGTAACAAAAAAGGTGTTATTTTCTTTGTAATACACAGAATTAAAACATAAGACAGACATTTTTGTTGTTTGTTTTATCTCATAGGAAGTATTTGCCTAAATATTGGTTAACCTGTACTTCTGCTACACTACTTCTGTTTTTTTTACTACAGACAAAACTTTGGCACAAAACAATAACATTATAAAATAACACCACTTTTTTATATTGAATAAAATATGATACACATGCGCAGACTGATCAAATGAAACCCTCAATATAAAGGGATTTTTTTTTTGTAGAATATTGTTCATCCCTCCAACAGAGTTCCTGGGAAAAACAGATTTAATGCCTAGGCATGGAAACTGGTAGTAAAAACAAACAACAACTTTGTTCTGTTTTTTCCTTATAATTAATCAAATCAGTGAATAACTGAAAGCATAAAAAATGGCTGGAATAAAGACTCAGCGATCACTGTAGGACAGTGACCACTAGCTGGAGTTACTGCTTCACTTGTTGACACAGTTTCTGTTGTGGAAAGATGGGGCGACTGGTGGTTCACCCAGAAATACAAACTGTCGCCACAGGATGGCGCTGATGCTCCACATTCACTGCAAAGACGCCAACATGAGCACCACTGTGCATTAGCTAACAATAAAGACGCCCACAAGAGCAGAGGGGGAGTATAGGCTACTGTATGATACTGTATCCCTGCTGTGATGCAATGCTAGGCAACAGTTTGGAAACACAGCACATGAATAAGTAATCCTAAATACTATTTATCATTTTCTACTCATTTTAGTCCTAAATCAGAAGCTTGATAAGCAAACTGAGCTGAACAATGGACAATAAAAGCAAATGAATGAGTAAACACTCAATCGTAGTCATTATGCTCTCAACTACAATCATAATTAGCAACATTGCAAAAGAAAAATCATTGCTTGAGTACAAAAAGCACAGCTGTGTTTATTGTTTCTAACTCAACTTCTTGCCCATGTACAGGACTGTAGCTCAAATCGTCACATACAAACTGTTCTGTCTTCCTGCTTTTACTTAAAACTCCACAATAACTTTTAAAACTCAGACATTTCTCTAAGCAGCTGTGTGGGAATAGGTGGGGCTTATACTGAGGAATGAAATCAAACACACATACACAAATTGAGCACAATCGTTTGGTTCCTCTGGCTTTGTGCAAGAGTGCTGTACCTAGTGGGGAGCAGTGCCGTGGTGGCAGATTGCGCCGCTGGAGGCTGGGGGCATTAGGAGGGTGAGGGCAGCTTTGAGCAGGGGAGGCTTCTCTGGTTGGTGCCGTGGCTTTATGTTGAGGTGTGTCATCGCTGCCACTGCTGGGATCTACATCAGAAAAGAAAAACATGCTCAGGGACTGTGGCAAAAATCACACAATGTTGCTATTTATATATGTACGAAATATGTTTTTATTTAAAAGCTGCAATTTTCTCACCTCCCGAATGTGATTAAGCCTATGTAAGGCAGTCAGTGTGCTCGCTCTAGCGCTGACTCTTAATATATGGGCCATTTCCTAAGAATATCAGTGAGTGAGTCTCACCTGACCGCCACAGGATTAGTGAATTTTATTTTGTAGATTTTGTAGACAATTTCCTCATATTTAAGTAATGCATGCAAAAATTTCCCTTCATTCTATGAAAATTTCAAGCTGTTTGAAATTTGGTGCTCTTCAGGTCGCCATATTTTTCCAGCATTTTCTGAACCCTCTTACTAAAATAAACTTTAAACACTGCTACCACACAAATTCTTTTCTACTTTTTTACCTATTTTTCTCCCTATAACTTTGAGCATTACTCAGTGGGTTATATCACAGTTTTAAAAAGAAAACTCAACCCAATATAATGTCTACTATATTGTAATAAAACCAAGCAAGTCAGCATGGACAAAACAAGTTATAGCATTTAAAAGGTTGTCTTTACCTGTATTTTAATAACTTCTAGTTGTGCTAAGAATTATGTTGCATATCTAATGACGAAAAAGAAAGAAAAACATTCGATTCTGAGGAAATGGCCAAGATAGCTATCAAATATTTCACCTTGGCCAACGTAGATATTTTGACGTTGACTACAAAAACTGAATTATTCACGTTTTGCAGGTATGACATATCTTTGTGGCTAATTTATGACTGCCAGCTTTTTGTTTCACTCCATGTCTCAGTGGATTACGGTACAGACACATGTACAATTTTGGGAAATACCTGACTATGCAAACTAATAGGCATAGAGCCAGCCATGGCCTATAGTAAACGATGTTCTTGTTTCTTAACACAAAAGATTTGATTTGGTTTAGTAATACTGAGGGAATTCTCAGCGCCATTTGAAAATGAAAAACTGTGGAATGATGGCATTAAAGCTTTTAACTGTCAATTTCATGCACGTTTCAGATCATTACACTCTTTCCTAATGGAGTTTTGGTTCTTTTTTGCTTTGCTTTGTTTTTTCTGGTAAATTGCACACTCTCATCAAGATTCGCAAAAAACAGGGTGCTGTAAACATAGTAATTATTCATAAGAGCTGCTGTTATGCCTCTAGCTTTTATGGAAATGAAAGGCTGAGGAACAGTGCAGCTGAAACATCCTCCAAATAATCACAATGAAATTATGATAGTTTTTACATATTTTTGCATGCTGTATACTGTATGCATTTCTCAGATATAAACCTTTAACTTTATAATAGTCAAAAAAATTCCATCAGTGCATAAATGATGGAATTTACTTCGTCGTTATAAGTGAAGAGTCAAACCAGAGAGCTCTAATTACTAATCATAAAATATTCAGCAGCTCAGTCAATGGTAGTGCTGACACAAACTCTAACTATTGGTAATATAACACTTTTGAAGAGGAAAGGATAGCGTTGTGCCCTTGAATTAAAATACCATCACTCTGATCTAATAATGTCAAATTGTGACCCAAGGAGGCTGCAGACATTCAAAAAACGTTAAGCTGTTGTGATACATACGTGTGTGTGTGTGTGTGTGTGTGTGTGTGTATATATATATATATATATATATATATATAAGCACATTTTATTGATACAAAGGACAGTATAGCATAAAAACAGATTAAAGGAGAACATTAAATCACTTTTGATGTAAAAATGCCAAGGCTCTGTGCAACACATCTAGTGATGCTTTCCAAAGCAGCAGCATGAATACACCAGGGAGAGTCAGCAGATTTTTTTCCTTTCTTTTTTTTTTTCCTTTTCCCAAAGGTGACCTACTGAAATGGAGATGAAGCCAAGAAAGGGATTGGCTAAAGGAGACGGCCGAAGGCTGACTCACACTGCTAAATGCTTGTTTCTAGCGTGCATGTACAATACAAATCCACCCCCTGTAGTAAGAATCCTCTGATCAGCACCAATGAGGACTCTGCTTGTGACTAACTCGCAAGCAGCGAGAATAGACAAGCTAATAACATTCAGAACAAATGTGCCTCTGGGCCATGTGGCAGTGATGAAGAACTGGTGACAGAAAAATGAGAAGAAAGGACTGCGTTACTTTACAGTCAGCATACTGTGTAATACGTTCCTCCTGATTGAACTACACCAGTGAATTAATTATTTCACCAGACCTGAGCATCATGATGACAAGGAGCTGCTTGTTCCTGCTTGTAGCTGCATTTGGGGCTTATGGTTATAGCGTGGTGCAGTCTGAGCCAACAGCCTAAAGGGAAACACTGCAGTGCAAGCAGACAGTTGTGTATGCCATCTGAGCTGCTTCCAAGTATTTTACAATCTGGCAGATACTGAATTTGTTAAAATGTACACAAATCTGCTTCAGTTTACATATCTAAAAAGATTACAGAGCCACTGGCAGTCAAGTTGGGCATCCTCATATTAATGTTGAGTAGAACTGTTGTTGTTTTCTTGAGAATCAGTGGTACTGTATACACCAACTAATTAAGAGTACTATTGCTATTTCTAAGGACAGCCAGGATTCAGCTGTCAAAGACTGGAATAAATGTAGTGATGTTTAAGCAAAGGACAACATTAACCTGTAATTATGACAATGAGCATCATTGTCATAATTACATACATAGATAAAAATGAATAAAAATTAATGACCTTACCAGAGTGCGAAATCTTATTTACTTCTGATGTCTATCAGTTTAAATTAAATTTACCAGAGAAGTTTGCAAGCTTGTCTTAAAGAGCCACTTTCTCTGATATTCTTTATATTTTCTGTTACTGTTACTATTATTTTTACCATGACTGGTCTGTAGCTGTTGCTTTGTTTATGTGTTTCTTTTCAGTGTTTCAGGTTTCTGGGGTAGCCTTTATGAAACTGGGTGCTATTGGTTCCAGCTTCTCCAGAGGCGGTTTATATTGTAAGGTAAAGACCCTACATCAGGGGTGCCCAACTTCAGGCTTCAAGGGCCGGTGTACTGCATGCTTTAGATCTCACCCTGGGTCAGCACACCTGAATCAAATGATTAGTTCATTACTAGGCCTCTGGAGAACTTCAAGACACGTTGAGGAGGCAATTTAACAATTTAAATCAGCTGTGTTGGATTGAGGACACATCTAAAACCTGCAGGACACCGGCCCTTGAGGCCTGGAGTTGGACACCCCTGCCCTACATTATTACAAAGAAAATAAAATCATTGTATTTAAAATATAAGAATCATTACTTATCACTACTTTTAGTGAATCACTTTCAGTGGCTGCTATTGCATTATTTGCTTTGGTTTTACACCCAGACCATAACCATATATCTAAACATTTTCCAAACAATGGTCAGTTTGTGTCACGTCTCTGAATCAGCAGACAACACACATGGCCTGCTCATATTTAGCAAAACCGTTTTTGGTAATAAAACAATGTCTTGTTAACCGACACTTTCTTTCCTGACACTTTGCTGACATCTCGTTCACACACAGAGATAATTGCATTGCCAGGTGAATTTTGCTGTCATTCCTTTATGCAGATGAAGACTGGGGGAATATTTCAGTGATGGTACTGAAATATGCATTGGGAATTCTGCAGTATGCAGGCTGAGCACAGGCAGCAGAGGGAGAGAGAGTAACTTTCTTCCTAAAGAAATCCTTTCTTCTCTGAGGCTCTGTGCTGCAGCGGCTTAGAAATGCAGAATTCTGACAAATGATTGAAAATGAAACAAAATGAGCAGCTGTTACTATAGTAACTGAGGATAGACCAGCCACACCTGCTGGTGAACTAATAAGGAGATGCAGATGTAGTAAAACATTGGTGTGGGGTAACCTTTTATTTAGGCAGAGTAGCAGTAAAAACAGTATTAGTCTAATTCATAAAAAAAATGAGTTGAGTGGACATAACTCACACTGAGAACCTCGGCCTGGGTCACTGTGGGTGCTTTCATTAGACTGGTTGCTGGATACAGATGAGACACTGGAGCTCCGGACAAATCCTAGAGAAGCCAGACGGGCAGCTGGAAGGGCAGAGAAGCCTGGAGGACGAAGGCCAGACTGGCCTGATTTGAGCAGGAGGCTTTTTGGGGTGGTTTCTGGACCTGCCCTCCTGGGCTCTCCTAAAGGTAGAAAAACAAGTAAAAAAACAAGAAAAAAAACCTTTAAAAACCTGATTTAGTTTATACTGAAATAAAATGAATAAATAAAAGAGGAAGATTACATATATATATAGATATATAAACATTATTCAATGACTAAATTCCACATAAATAAGAAAGCAGCATATGTGCAACCAGCCAAGAGTATCATTTATAATGTAAGAAGGCAAAATTATGCAGTGCGAGCTGGTAGCATGTGCAAGTTACACTAACTTCAAATGCTTTGCACTTCAAAGAGTTGAGGTGCCAAAAGCCAAGGCTCATCCATAAGCATGACAGGAAAAAAATTAGGTGAATCATTCAGCAAGCCCAAGAAGCTTGTTGAATAAATAACTCTACAGCTCAACATCTACGGGATGGGAGAGTGTGGAGAATACTGAAGTAGGTAGAGAGAGATGAGAGAAATCTGTTGAAATGATTTCTCAAGATTTGACCTAATCATCTAACCACACAGGGTTTTTTAACGTAAGCATACACAAATACATCTTGTGTTAAACTTTTAAACATTCCCAAAACAACCTTTGAAAATGCAGCTGTCTCTGATACTAAAAATGCAACTAACATTTCAGTTCACTTTTGAGTCAATTTGCCAAAACGTTACAATCTCACCTGCCAGATCTTGTTGGCCTGGAGTGGACACTTTGGCAGCCAGATATTGTGAGGGACCTGACCTTTGACCTGCCTGCTGAACTCTTGGCTTGGCTGCGGGCTGCCTGGTGACTGCACCTAGCCCAAGCTGAGGCCTCAGGGTTCTTGGCGAGCGGTAGACACTACCTCCTTCAGGGGAAACATGCTGCTGAAGGACATCACCAACAAAACCAGTTACTATAACATCATTCACATTCTAGACTGATGGACAGCAAGGTATCATGTGATAGGTTTGATTCATGTATTATTAAGTTAGGCACTTTGGTTTTGTGTGATAATACATCTAATCTATTACCACTCTGTTACTGTTTGTGGTGCAATGTGAGCCAGTACGTGACCAAAATAATCTAAAACACAGCATGTGCAGTGCAGCTGAAACGGACCAAGCTGCATGAACAATTAAAGGGTTAAAAATGCTTTCAGGTTGAGCCACCATCATGCTAAATTGGAATACTTGTACCACACCATAAGCTGAGTTGTGTGAACATATCAAAACAAAAGTCCGCTTCTCACCTCTTGAAGATATTTCTCTGATGCCTCCTGGAAGTTGTCTGACTTTCCACTCCTTTGAGGGATACTGCTGCTTGGAGGTTTTACTCCAGTCACAGCGACACCTGGAGGATAGTATGCTGTCTTCTGCATCTCCTGTCGATATTTGTCAAATAGCAGGTTTGAGGAACAGAGCACTGGTGTGGATTTAGTTTGAGAAGCAACCTTTGGATCTTTGAGAGCTGGTGGGTTGGAGTAAGAGGGTAATCTTGATGTGTGTGTGGAGGCTTCATTTAGTGCATCGGTGAGTGGTGGTTTTGCTTGAGTATTCTTTCGAACATACGTGATGATTTTTGGCCGCACGTTTTTGGGCTTCTGAGGGGGCGAAGATCTCCTGGGTTCGGACTCCTTCTGTTGAGGCATGATAGGTTTGGGGATTCCACTGCTCAAACTCGTCTTAGCATGTGGCTTGATAGTTTGACTTATTCCTCTTTGAGAGGAGTCACTGTGCTCCAGGCTCGGTGCCCTGATGCCCTGGACCTTAGCTGGAGAACCACTAGGTCGTCTCTTAGGTGACGAAGAGGAGGTGGTTTTAGGGGATGTAGGAGTTGCTGGTCGACTGGGGCTTCCCCATGGCTTCCTCCTTTCCAGACTTGAAGAGCTGGGAGTGGTGGTGTTCTCAAAGGAGCCCTGCTTTTTTAAGGTGTTATCAAAAGAGAGCTGCTTCTTTAAAGCATTCTCAAATGAAGGCTGCTTTTTCAGACTCTTATCAAAAGAGCTTTGTTTCTTCAGTGTGTTATCAAATGAGTCTTGTTTCTTTATGGCTTTAGGTTCAACACATGACTGAGTCCCCTTTGTACCTGTTCTGAGAGCCCTGTAGTTCACATCAGGGGTTTCATCCGCTTGTGTGCTTTTATCTATTTTAGCGTTGCTTTCTTTTTGACATTTTGTCGGAGAGGTTAAAGCCTTGTGCTCAGTACAATTTACCTCCAAAACACTACCCTTTGCTTTATTTCTATGGTTATTATTTGTCCCGGGTTTGCCACTGACATCATGTGCCTGTGATACAGCATCATCTGACTGAACTGCTGAATTCAAATTCATATCTACATCTTTCTGGGTTATTGTGCTTTTTCTAGCAAAAAGAGAAGAATCATCAACTATTTGAGAGGCCTTGCCTCTCTCAGAGATAGTGGTGCAAATCTGGGAAGTTAGGTCCTCTGAGATGGTTGAATGAGGACCAGAGGCAATATGCCAGGAGTCTGTCATCTGGTTCTTGCCAACAGTGTCCATGGCAGTGGCCATGCTTGAAATGGTGGACAGACAGGATACAAAGACATCAGTTTCAGAGCTTAAGTCAGTCTTGGAAGCTTCTCTGCTCTCAGAGACATGAGAGCCATTGGATTCTTGCTCACTGGCACCGTTCAGAATTGACTTCCTTTCTTCCCTGCCCTTATAATCTATCGCCTCTTCTGCTGTGGATTTTCTGCATGATGACGGCTGTTCTTGAAGCTCCTTCCGCTCTGCAAGCCCAACAAAGTCCTCTTCCTCCTCAACAAGATAAGCCTCCAACTCCTGACACTCTAACATCTCAAATTCAGCCAGCTCAGGGTCATCACACTGAGAGTCTGTGCCCCAGATGATGACTTTGTCTTGCTCTGCTGTTTCAGTTATCAATCCTGACAGACAGCCAGTATCCCCAGTTCTCCCACCATCTTCTGTCCGAATGTCATTGGCATTGGCGTCGCCATCAGCCAGCATGCCACCCTGCTGGTTGTTATTCCTTAACTCCCCCACACCAAAGGGCTCTTCTCGCTCACACATTATGAAATCAGCTCTGAGTTTGTGGCAGCCTCAAGAGCACTTAAAATAAATCATCATCATCGTCAAGCATCAAAAAGTCTGTCTGCCCATCAAGCTGTCCTACTGGCAGAGCAGGAGCCTATTTTCAGTATGTCAGAAATATGAATGTTGAATGTCATGTCTAATTTGGAGCATGGGTCTTCATAACATCTGAGGTCCTTATCCTGCATAAAAACAGCAGATCACAAGTAAAGAAAATATATTGAAGATGACTTAAAAACAATATTCAACAGGTATATTTAAAAAACTGTGCCATCTTATAATAATTTAAATCTTTCAGTCTGTTTCATCATAAAACCATGAAATAAAGTGAGTTTTTTTGTGGGGGCAGTGAAAGATGTGTAGATGCACCGAAGGCAATGTAGGCTAGACCAGCAGGAGAAATCACAGTTAACCTCTTACAAACACAGCAACGAGTGATTTAGCCAGCATAAACAATATTAATGTATAATTTTTTTCTGGCCTCTTTTTTCTTTTTTTAGATTTCTTTGTAGCTCAAAAAACCTTAATGGGTGTTTCTGTATATGAAACAGCTGAGGTCATATGATAACTTATTGGTTACTGTAGCGGCGAATTTCTGTCCCAAGCTTCGAAAAAATAATTCTTCCACTTCTTAATGTGAGCTGTTCAGATTTATTTCTGACTCGTACATACAAATGTTTCTCTATAGATTGGCTCTAACAGTTACAGCTTTTGTAAGAAAATCCTCAGGCCCCGTGTGGGATAAACTCAGGCCTGTTGGGCTCCCAGGATTGCAAAAACCTACAGTGGTGAAAACCATGAATCTTTTCTGCATTTATTCCTAAATGTTAAACATGCCAAACATCTTGTTTATTTTGTTTCTGACTGAAATGTTGTCAAGGGCCCAGAATTTTTTGCAGCACTCCTGTGAAGAGCAGTATTCACAAATCTGACTCTTAAAAAAATGACATTAGTGAATTAGCTGGCAACCGGTCTCTCTCTAGCTTTAGGAATGTGAGTGAATTCAGCAGACAAGATATTATGCTGCTTGGAATATATGTTACAGGTGGGAACAACTTTGTGGTTAAACAAGATCTACAGAGAAGAAGGTACAAACAGAAAATATTAGCCTAAAAAAATTACTTGTATTGAATTATATAATTCCCTGATCTAACTAGAGACTGCTAAGTTTAAAATACAATTAGGGACAAGGGAAAAAAGGAATGACTATCTTCCAGCCACAGTGAACTATCCGGGGGGGAAAATAACAACCAGACAAGCTTAAGTACACTGACAAAAAAAGCTAATTCTGCCTTTGGAGGGAAAATACAATGACACTGTCTCTTGTTTATGGACACTATCATTATTGTTCTGTCTTTATGACAGTCAGATGCAAACCAGCATGACAGTGACGGTGTTACATTTGACCTTCATAATGGAATTGTTTTCTTATATTTTATATTTCTGATTATCCATGTGCCTTGAGTTACTGAGATTGTCTTTTGTGAATACTTTTGAGATACTTGCATTAAAAAATACACATTATTTCTGTTATCCCTTTTCTGCACCATCTATTGCTTGCAACAACAAAAAAACAAAAACAAAAAACATCCAAGAACCTCTTTTTTGTCCAATCAGCTGAGTGACTGTGGACTTTTAACCTCCACAACTTTTACAGTGTTTATGATGGGCCACCTCTAAACTGCCAAGTACTACTGAGGCTTTTACAAGTTCTCATGACCCAACTGTCTGCTTCTGCACTTCTAAAATCATTTAATAGGCTGCTTGATGTATGATTTTATTTAAGGCTGACAAAAATAGACAAATAAATAAATACAATATTTCAGCCTTCATGATATTTAACCCTTTCCTTCATTAAGGGAGATCTATATGTAAACTTTGTATTTCGAAGAGCTTTAAACTGTCAACATGAATTTTAAGTTTGTTGATATGTTACCAAAATCTGGAAGTTCTGCAAAATCTGCTTCCCTCATCTCCCATCATTCAGCTGGCTGCCCTGCCACCTGCATGCTCAGATTAAGAGCTATGCCACTTCCTTTAATTGCCCTGCAATTTTAGTCAGCCAGCAGGTACCATAATTGCTCAGAGAGTTTCTACTAATCCAATATGAGAAATGTGAATGAAATGTCCTGTGTGGACCCTTTGGAAAGGACAGAGAGCACTGACAGGCCCTTTGATCTTAAGCAGCAACTCTTTTTTTGCAGAGAAACTGCACATGCTGTTATCACCTCATCATGCCTTTCCCATTATCAAGTTGTGGTTGACAACTTCCTCTAGCACAAAAAATTAAATTCTAAGAAAATTTCCAATTAAACTAAAGAAAAAAAAACCTACTAGGAAGAAAACTGACTGCCTGCTGCTCCATCTCAGGCATTTGCTCTGCATTTGTGTCCTAATAAATTCACTTACGCAGCAGGAAATAGCATGTCATTTCCCTTCTAAGAAAACAAAACTGTGCTGTTGCCTGTTATTAGAGTTTGATGTATGCTTAGAACAAGTCAACTTTTGTAAACTTGACAAGAAAAGCAGAGAGGGTCTACAGACAGAAGTGCCCGTTTGCAACATAAGCTAAAACATCGCACTAAATGATGCCTCTGCACAACAGAGACAGCACACCTGCATCTACTGCAGTGCTTACTGTTAAACCACACTGAGACACAAAATCTCTCAGTGCAGGCAGACAAAACACTGGTGCTACTAACAAATGTTTTTCCTTTTCGAATATTTCCAGACAAGTGCTATAAAATATTGTTTTTAAGAGAAAGGCTCAACCTGCTAACACAACTGTTTCTGCTGCAGCCATCATCCTTAAATTGATTTCCAGCTCTAAATCGGTTAAGTGCAGACCTCAGCATGGACACTATGGTACAGTTATCTGCACAGCAGTGACATGATGGATATGGTGCATTTGTTGAGTTTTATATAACTGCATTTGTTAATATTTGATCTAGAAAGTAGTGAAATATCATAGATCAAAGTTATGTTGGGAGTGATAACTTGTGTAAATGGAAATTTTAGGTGTAAAGAATCATAAATGGCATTTATAAAAAGAAGGGAGAAATGGGCCTTCATCCTCTAGCCAGACCTGGGAGTGGAGTTTAACAGCCCACAAAAAACACATTTAAGTGTTACCCAGTGGACCACTACCAGGTATGGGTTTGGGGTCAACTGCACATTACCTTTACCTGCTACCGAGCTTAGAGACCCGTTTCTGGATTCTGCTTGGGGAACAGAACAGTCACCTGGCTAGGGACATTAAATCTGGGTAGGCCGTGTTCAAGGCCTTGCAGTTAAAGGTTCAACAACCTAAGAACTTGCTGTTAAGATATAAGTACAAAAGGAGGGCATCATGTGGAAGAAGGAGGCCTTTCAGGATTACCTGATCCAGGGGTGCATTAAAAACAGACAGATATTGGGAGAGGAGACCGGCTGTTGCTTTGGCATTTGCTAAAGCAAAAAATTTAGGAGAAGTTCAGGAAGGCTACAGAGTTAGACTTTCAATTCTTCGTTTTACGTCAAGTTTACACATGTTTGTATAGAATTATAGAGTTAGAGAAGGTATTCAAATGTGTTTGGAGAACCCTGTTGTCTTTTGCAGCAGTGCAGACTATAAGGTTTGTATCTATGAGCCATCCAATTCTTTTATAAGTAAAGCAATAGCTGTGACTGTATTCAAAACACAAGGCCCAACATCGTTTTAGCAAGGGTTAGACGCTGTCAAGTTTGCTTCTTGTCTTCATTCCTGTTTTTGATATTTATGGACCAGCACTGAAAATGCAGCCAGTGTGAGGAGGGAGTTGGGAATGGGAACAACAGTAATGTGTCAGTAAGTATTTCAGGATGTTGTTAACAAGTGATGGCAAACTGGAGCTGGAAATGGACAAACTGATTGGTGAGGCTTATGCACGATCCCCCAGAAAGAAAAGGAAATGGAGAGACAAGTGTGTGCTGCAACTGTGACCTGACTTTGGTAAGTGAAAGTAAAAGGAATGGTTGGATTTACAAGAAACACCAGAATCCTTTAGAGCTCAAGTTTGCTTTGTTCAGGTCATTTGAAAATGATTAGATCCAGTTACAAGAGATGTACTGTAAAATCTTCTGATTTCATACATGAACTAACTTTCTTCTTTATGTCTCTCATTCAGCTTCATTCTATTCACAAGTTTTCTGGGTTTGAAGGACATTTGCCACTTCCTTCCTGTTCCGTTTCCTGGTATCACTTATAGTACTATTCAACACTCGGGCAGTCAGTCAGACATCATAACAGTACAAGAGAGAACAGGGAAATTTATAGTTGTAGCACTAAAATGCTTCCCCCATCTCCCATCATTCAGCTGGCTGCCCTGCCACCTGCCTGCTCATATTCAGGCAACACCTTTGCCAAGGCCACTGAGAAAATCTGTGCATCCAAGCCTCGCAGGAGTACTTATGTGAAGATGTGCCCGCACAGCTTGTTTTGCTCTGTGAAATAGAAGCTGTGTCAGCTTCTGTTTTGTGTCAGCTGTCTAATGCAGCTGCTTGCCGGTCCTCACAGATGTGGGCCTTCATTTGTTTACCAAGCCTCACTTGATGCTTAATCTAGATCCCTCATGAAAAATTGAAGATGAGTGAAAATGGAGGCAGCAGTCTCCCTCTCAATTTAATGCTTCAGTGCCCCTGACTTCTTTGTGCAACCACCTAAAGCTCACATAAGATTTGCTTTTTCACACACATGGCAAAGGTTTGCCTTGAAAAACTACAAATGAATGCTTCACAGGCAGCAAAAACCCACAAAATTCTATCATTTGGAAGCAAATTCAAATGCTTCTTACATAAATGAACAAATATGTAGTAACAGCACCTTTTGTGTTCAGTTTATAGAATCTCCAGGCTTCCGGTAAGACGATCGAGGCCTTACTGGCTGTGCATGCTGCCCACTGGCCCTCAGCATTTTATGGTCACATCTTACATAATCCAGTACAACTCAGGCCTTTTCAATAAATGTCACCACTCAAGCCACACCAACAGAAATCTGTCACTTCACTACTAATGCACATTCATGCTGCTCTGAGTACCTTGTTCCTCACACTAGGAAACTATTTTTGTTCAAAGGGAAAAATACAGAAAGAGGAAGGACCGGCTTTGCTGATTTTAGAAAAGACAAAAAACATAGGATGTGGTTGACACAATAAATAAAACATGGTGTGACTCCACATACACATTTTGAGGTGAGAGCAATTGTACTGAGGTTACCTTTTCAAAGCTTGGTATGCAAACGCTATATTAGAATCTGCACTCCTGGAAACGATTAGGAAATGACTTGAAAACAACCTTATTAGAAACACAACAGGATCATCCGCAGTCTCGAGTAGATGCAGCAGGGTCAATAAATGCAGTTATCACTGCCGCTGTTCGGAGATTGAGAGGGAGACAGCAAACGCCTTCTGTTCCCCTTGTGAAATGAAATTTCTTACCGGTTTAATTCAGGTGAATCTGGAGAAGAGCCCGTCAGCGAAGAGCTGATGAAGAATGATTGAGACATCCAGTTTAAGCCGAGATGAAGAGGGTACAGTCTGCATCATCGCTGGAAAACAGGGAGGAGAGGAGACGAGAGGAGATTGAACAAAATGGACTCGGGTCGCCCCCTGCAGGTGAAGACAGGACATTTCTTCCCCACTACAGAGCGACACGCAGTACATGCGTGAATGAGAGCGGGGCAGATGGGAAGGTGAAGATGTAAGGAGTAAAGGAAGTGGAGATGGAGGAGTTTAAAAAGCTGGGGTCAATGATCCAAAGCAACAGTGAGTGCACATGAGAAGAGGAACAAGTGAGTGCAGGATACGATCACAGGATATCTGCACGAGTGAAAGGGAAGGTTTACAAGGTGCTGAGTCCTGCCGTGATCTTTGGTTTGGAGAAAGTGGCACTGACACAAAGACGGGGTGGAGACGGAGGTGGCAGATTTTCACTGAGAGTGACCACGAGGTGCAATTTCAGAAATTAATATGTCAGAGGGACCGCTCAGGTCGAGCAGTTTGGAGACAAAGTTAGAAGGCAAAATGGTTCGGCATGTGCAGGAGAGAGAGTGGATCAACTGAAAGGATGTTGACATGGAGCTGCCACATGAAAAGGAGGAGGACATTGCAAAGGGTTCATGACAGAGGAAGGTGGAGACAGGGCGGCAGGTGTGTGGAGGCCTCTAAAGAGAGCAGCTCAAAGAATAGAGAAAGAGCAACACAGACTAATATAGTGCTTAACAGATTTATTAGACCGTCTGGCTAAATGGTTATTAGGCGAACCATACAAACAAATTAAAACGAGTGTAATCGGTCCTCAATCAAAAAAAAAAAATCATGTGCTTTATTTATTGTTTTTGTAAAACAGTCGATTAAAAAAAAAAGATAACAGTAATTATATTCAAACATTAAAAAGATCATTTTGATTACACAGCTTACTCATATTACTGGATTAAACATTACAGAAACGTACAGTTAATTTAGGGTAACTATAGCATTTTACATTTGGCAGTAGTCTTATGAATTAATTACAGTGTTAAACACTAAAAACAGTTTGTCTGCAGAATAAACTGAAGGAATTTAGATTTTTCTTTGGCTCCAATCTTTCTGATTACTGTACTTGAAGTAGTAAAGGTAACAGTAGAAGAAACTACACTAATGAATTAATGTCGATTCTCTAAACCATCTATACAGCGGGAGGTGGTTATGTGAAATAAATCAAAGTCAGCTTTAGCTTTCAGGATTATTTATTTACATCGAGAACTATACAAACCATAACCAATATGACAACAACATATAGTGAACAGTGTGCCTTCCCCCCCACAGTACACTGAACATTATCACATATCAACACTATAAAATGCATTTATGCAGCATGCAAAGCACGGATGAAGCATGATGTGACCTTTTGACATGTAACCACAGCAAGTACAGCACTCCCATAAACATTGCATACAGTCAGTAACTCAAGTATCATCAAAAAATTATTTACAAAGTCAGCGTTAAAATGTTTTCTACATTTTAAAATTAATGCATCGTTTCAAAATAACATGTGCTGATATCTTACTGATTTAGAAACAGCCAGGTAAACAATGCCTGGTTACATTCTGGAGCGCAAAACTTTTATTTACAAGGTAAGTGTTTAAAAATTGTTATACCACTCCAGCAAAAATAATCTTCTTTTTTTTTAATTCATATTTTTATTAAGGTTTCAAAAGCAGGCATTCACAGTATGTACATCATGTAAGCATTCTTCATACTTAGGTTATCTGCCTTAAATACTGAAATAGTATTTTAATTTACATCCAAGTCATAAGGGAAGAATACTTACAACGATAGAAGTAATTGAAACCATCACATAATCCGAAAATCAAAAAACAAAAAACAAAACTAACAAACCTAAGAAAAGAGAAAAAAAAACAAAAAAAAACAAAACAAAAAAAAGAAACAAAAAACAAAAAAACAAAAAACAAAAAAAAACACGGATGTGTTGGTATGGGGTGATCCTATAAATATATATACATACATCATAATTATTGGTTTGTAATAGTAAAATCTGGCCTATGAGGCGTGATATATTTAACCCAGTTTTCCCAATATGATGTAAATTTCTCCAGCTTGTGGTTAACAGAAGCTGTTATCTTTTCCATGTTATAAATTTCCATTGTGATTTCCATCCATGTACTTATGTTTGGGCTCTCTGGGGATAACCATTTTCTGGTGATATTCTTTTTACAGGCCACCAATAAAATATTTATTAAATGTTTATCATATTTAGGCCATTCCTGAGGTATATATCCAAAGAACATAGTCTTACTCTCGAGAGATATTTCACGTTTAAAGATATCCTGTAAGGCATTATGTATTTCTCTCCAATAATCCCTCAAGATTGAGCAGTCCCAGAAAATATGGTAATGATTTGCACTTTGATTTCCACAGTTCCTCCAACAAGCAGGGGGGTTATCATCATAATGAGACTTCTGAGAAGGTGTTATAAAGTATCTAATTAGGCACTTCCAGCCAAATTCCCTCCACTTTTGTGAGCTGGTACACATCCACTGATATCTCCATATTGCCAGCAAAAATAATCTATAGGAACTATTAAAAAACTATTAAAACTATTAAAAAACTACAGAAATTATTCTGACGCATGATCAAGTTAAATCCAATGGATTTTGGCTTCAGGTTTCATTAATAGATTCCCTCAAAAGGACCATAAGCTGAAATAAATTGTCTTACAGTGTCATTGCCATCACCCATTTACTGCTGAATATATATTAGCGTTTAAAAACGGACTGAGTGAAGAGATTTTTCACGTAGTTGCATTTCCAGACCTTTGCTGACATACAAACTTTGCTGTACTTCAGTTTTAGCTGCATCAAAGATCTGCACACACACACGCATACATACACTCTACTGCTTGACCTACACCATTTTTGTGTTTCTAAACATACAGTGTAGGTTTTGGCATTTCAAAATAAAAGTGAACTAAAGAAGTGTTATATCACCATGTAAACTACAGGTGTGCAATAATCACAAACTGATTGTATTTCAGGCATGTGTGAATTAAAAAGTTAAAAGGATCCACTTGGGTTTCATGTAGTTATAAATATATGATTTTTTTTCCAATCTTCGTTTAAACATTTTGTTTTATATATAAAGTATCACACAAAGGCAAATCGTGATAGAGGAATATCCTATCTTTAAAAATTGGGGAATAGGCACTTTAACCTACTAGGACCTGGCGTCCACATATTTGGACATCACATTTTGGGTTATTTAGACCAAAATACTCAATTTTGCTTTACAAGGGCCTGATAACCACTTACGAGGACATTATACTGCTACTGTTCTATTGAAATTTTAAACAAATATCCTCATTTGTGGCTCTCATTTTTCTTAGAAATGAAAATTTGGTAAAAAAAAAATAAAAATCTGGCAATTCTTTGTTTTTACATTCATCGGGCCCCAATATGCCCAAATATCAAAGATAAATTAAAAATGCATGCTGTGGAAGAATTCGGGTCTTAAAAGGTTAAAATATAAACTAGATTAAAATAAGCAGCTTTTTTTCTTTGAGTAAAAAGTACAAATTCCCACAGATAGCATTGGTACTCTGGTAAGATTAGCAGTTGGTACCATCAATCAGAAAGACCTGCAAACACATGGATGCACTGAAAATGCTACTTTTAGCACCATGTTGACTTTATATGAGCTATACATTCAATGTACAAGACATCCAAAGACCTGTGACTTGTATTTTTTCAGTAATAGAAACACTGGTTAAACCCCCAAAACTGCATCTTAAGGGTAAATTTACAACTAAGGGATTTCTCAGCTAACAACTTTCTCACAAAAGGCACTGATGGTACATTAAAATTCTCACCCTCGTCCAAGTCTCTTAGACGGTGTTTGTATTTTTTGTACACGGTCAACATATACAAATGTCGAGCACTTTGAAGCTAGGTGAGCAGTAACACATTCTGAACTTTATATGTGACATCATTCATGGAAAATCTGATGTGCGGTCATTCTAATGTACTGTTAAAAACCCAAAATGAAGTTTATGAAGATCCATTTATGGTTGGATAATATTTTTGTAAAAACAAAAGCATTTTGAATCGATGGATTCCGTTATGTTTAGTAAAACTGACCATTTCAAAGCACAACAAAAAAAAAAAAAAAAATATGACTATAATCTTCTTTTCACATAATTTCATACTGCTTCAATTAAAAATACTTGGCTAATTAGCCATTAAATCTTATTAGGCTTTTTATAATCATCATGTAGTCAACATTTTTGGCTAGTAGTACAATTGGCTGTCTCCATGTGTCTCCTGAACTTGCAGATAGTCTTTCAGAAAACTTAATAGCTATTTCACAGCACAGATGTTACATTCTTTTTGGGGAAAAAAGGGGTAAAGGATATACTGTACCAGCTCCTGGTCTATGGACTCTTTCTTCTTACTGGCTCCTCGTGTTTTCATCTTTCTTGTCGTTGGCTGACGACTGAGCACTTGCATGGTCTGCAGGGACTCAAGGTCTTTGGCCATTTTGGATTTTTAAGCTCATTGTCATGACTGCATGATAATACGTTATGTTTAGGTTAGATTTTATGTTAGCTCAATTTAATTGATAATCTTGTGTTGATAGGTCCTTTGTGACATTGTTCTGTGCCCACCTCGACATAGAAAACATGTAGAGGACAGCTGCAAATGCAATTTTAACATTTTTTCCCCGTTTTTCTTTGAGTTGTTAGCGAATTGTAGGTTTGTAACTTTTCATTTGTCTAAGTTAGTTAGTTGATTGGCGTTTTCACAATAGGTAAGGGCTGTTTTGTTTGTTATGTTGTCCTTACCGCTCCGTGAAACATACTTGCACCTTCTTTCCTGTACCCCTATTTAAATAAACGTTTTAAAAAACCCTCCTATCTCCTCAGAAACCATCTTCATCTTCTCGGGTAGAGTCTTGTGTATTGTGTAAGAAGGCTTCCTTCTCTGTTTGTATGGCCTCTTCTTTTATTATGCAGCTATCTTCGTAATTGTCACACTTGGCTAACGCCTCCTCTGCACTGTTGCGTATACCATAGC